TGAACTGCCACCTCCAGTGGACTCGAGGCCAGAGCAAAAGCACCAAAATCTCAGCCACCCCAGCTGGACGAGGCCCCCAGCACAAAGCCTGTCAGTGGGCACGTAAACCCCCATGGGCATGTGGGGGGAGGCACCATTCACCCATGCTGACCATGTGGCATCCATACGCACCCTGCTGAGCTTGCCCAGCTGGCACCCTGGCCACGAGTCTTGGGTGCCCAGTGGGACCCGGAGTCAGCGGCGCAGCCCTTAAAAAAATGTTGAGGGTTTTAAAATGGGCTCAAAGCCTTTCAAGAGTCACTTCACCACTCTACAGACCTGATGCTGGCAGCAAGACATAACAGGCAAGCACCACCTGGCAGCATACCCTGTGACAGAGCAGCTGCCCTCACCCGAATTGAATGTGTGTGTTAATTAAATTGCACCCAATTAATACATTTTTCCAGGTTATCGATAGGTTTTCATGGCTTTTGCACCCCCCTTGTGGCTAAGCCAGCCACTCGGTGCAGGAGCAGGTCCCAGACACGCCAGTGGCGGGCCCCCGGCAAAAATTTATTCAGCTCGGCGGAGCCACTGGCAGCCTCTGTCCATCCGTCCTGCGTCAGTGTGGGAATCCCTGCCTGTTAAACATCAATGGCCTCGTGTCCCGAGGCCAGCTCGGCTCTCAGCATCGTGTCCTGGGAGTTGGGATTCAGCCACATGAATAACACGGATACTGGAAACGGGTGGAGGGGAGATGGGGCATAGGATACACTGTAACTTGAATTGTATTTTTTTTCTTTTTCAAATGTGCTGCTTTGCAAATTTTAACTTGTTTGATTGAAGCTAAAAACCTCATAGGTGCTGCTGCTCCACTCCGTCCCCCGCCTGCCCTCTCCCTGTCTCAGCATCGCTAATCCTGCCTCTCCCAACTGCACCACATCACAGGAGCTGGTGGCACTTCTGCCCAAGTCAAGGAGCAGATCCTTCAGTAGGAAGTGGTTTGAGAAAGGCATGGTCATGTCCTACCTCTCCTGCATCACCGGGGCAGAAAATGGGCTGGTGGGAACCCTCCTCCTCGTGTGAGACGTGGACAGCTTGGTCACCGAGCTTGGTCACCGCCTCATTCCAGCAGTCTCTTGTTTTAAATCACTTACAGGGTAGAAATATCAGACATTTCCAGTCATCAGTAGTTTGTGCTGAGCAAACCAGTGGCCAAAGCCAGTGGCCAGCTTGCAGCATGGTCACGGCTTTCCATTATGCTACTTGACTGTCAGAGAAGAGGGACAGTGGACTCCAGAGGTGGACCCCATTTTTCCCCACAGCAACACATTTTCCAAGGTTCTCCTATAAAATCAGTGTGCCGAGGCCATGGAAAAAAAAAAAGCTTTCCCAAGACTTGAGGATGGGGAAACTGAGAAGTACTCAGATGCTCCAGGCTTTCCTAACAAGTCACCTTCCCACACGGCCAGGCACACAGGAGCAAAGCTCTCTGGAAGATCAAGAGCCTTCAACCTCTTCACCAAACCACCCCAGGGCTCTCTCCGTAAGAAGTGCTTTTCAGTGCAAGCCCAGCTGCACACAACTGCAGATGGCAGACCTTCTGCCAGCAGTGGACATGGAATCGAACACCATTTCACCAGGCATCTTCTCTTAACCCATGGATTCATGGCCAGCTGGACCCACAGGCTGCATTGACCCACTAAGTTTTGGCCTCACGGGTCCAGACTTTGTAATTTTGCATAGTCCAGGATTCCTCACTGGTTTGGTTAAAAACAAGAGAAAAATGGGCAAGAGAGCATAAGAAAGGCTCATTGCATTGGCTTCTCCAGGAGCTCCGTCTCAATGCCACACCCCAGCAGGAAGAAATGCTCTCTGGAGAGGAAGCCCTGAAACCTCTGCAACACAGCACCTCCAAACTAGTGTGCTCATAAAAGAGAATTTTCTAATTACAACCATGCCAAGAGAAGCCATAAACCTTACTGACCCTGATCAGGCAGAGAGGAAGCTCAGGGCTTCCTATAAACCACCTTCCATGCTTACCTTCCAATTCCTAATATGAACCAAGACTGGTGAAGACAGCAAAGCCCATCACCCCAGGATGGGTATGGAGCAATGAAGAGTGCTCAGAGCCTTACAGAGCATTGCCCCTGCAGCCCAAAATGCCCCTGGCACTCACCCGGCAGACAGACATCTGGTTGGTGGTGAGGGTGCCAGTCTTGTCAGAGCAGATGACAGAGGTGCAGCCCAGGGTCTCCACCGAGGGCAGGCTCCGGACGATGGCGTTCTTCTTGGCCATGCGGCGCGTGCCCAGCGCCAGGCAGGTGGTGATGACGGCCGGGAGGCCCTCAGGAATGGCAGCCACCGCCAGAGCCACCGAAATCTTGAAATAGTAGATGGCTCCTCGAAACCAGGAGCCCCCGTGGACAGGGTCACTGAAGTGGCTGATGTTGATGACCCAGACGGCGATGCACACCAGGAAAATAACTTTGGAAAGCTGCTGGCTGAACTCGTCCAGCTTCTGCTGCAAGGGTGTCTTCTCGGGCTCTGTCTCTACCATCTGGTTTCGGATCTTCCCGATCTCAGTGTACACCCCTGTTGCAATAACAACCCCTACGGCCTTCCCAGCTGCGATGTTGGTGCCCTAGGAGGGAAGAAAGCGGCCAGAGTGGACATGTGGGCATGAAACCTCTCAGCCTGAGCGGGTAAATGGGTCACTTGTTGTGAAAGGAGAACATGAGATCTTGATTAAGGGGAAAATCAGACATCTTGGGATATTATATACACCCACCCTAAAGCAGCAGGAGACCCTCCTGAGAGCTCTCTTGTCCCTCGAGGACTTGACTTCTGTCCGAGAGGGGCATGAACAAGGAGGAAACCCAACCTTGCAATAGCTGCAGACACAACCACAAACCTTCTCCCTGCCTGCAGTGCATCCTACTTGATGGAAAAACAGCCAAGATCATTCAGGGGATCACTTAAGGACATCATGTGCCACAGCCCAAATGAAACCCGTGGAAGCAGGTCTCCATTTTTATGCATGTGGGGCTCTTTTTATGGATTTGGGTCTTTTTCATGCATGCACTCCCTTTCACTGCTCAGAGATCTGTGTCCACAAGCCTCTTCACCTGGCAGCTCTCTGGAAAACTACAGGAGAGGTGGGGACAGGCATAAGGGACTTACAGAGAAAAGCATGTTCTTCTTGTCCTGGTTGACAGCCCTGGGGTCGGGGACAGGATCAGCGTGTTTGATCACCGACACAGACTCCCCTGCCAAGACAAGAGGGGGGAGATGTTTCCTCGCCAGTGTTTCCTCTCCAGCCTCCACTCTGCTATGAGCCTGCATCACAATCTCCAACAATTTTTAAAGCAGCACGTTGCCACCAAATCATCAAAACACCCATTGTGGAGATGTCAGAGCTGGGACAAGGTGCTCCGAAGGTGAGGGCTGCAGAAAAAGGACCTGTGTGGATCATTAGCAGCCATCAGCTTCTGTACAGCCCAACACAATGGGGCCAAACCCCCATGCCCAGGAGCTGCGGGCTTGCAGCACAGGTCTGCACAGTTGGACAGGGATTGTAGGGTACCACAACAGGAATGGTGCCCAAAGCCCTTCTGCTGAAGGTTTGTATTTTGTTCTTCGCAGATTGCCCTTTCACTGCATTTTCTTTTGCCCTTGGAGAATGAAGTAAATGCAGAGCCACTTTTCAAGGAGACTGGGCTCCTTTTCCCATATTTTTAACATTTTTCTCTGATTGCTTCTTCTTCCCTGTTGCCATCTCCTAACCCCATGCCCTTACAAAATCACACACAAGAGCTGAAATACTGGAAGCTCTTTCTGCTGGCTGGTGATTCATCAGCCTTGCCTGACAGCAGAGAGAATTTTTGAAATATCCTAGATTATCAGCTTTAAGGGCTTTTCCAGTGCTTAAAAAACAGACCCAAATATTTTCACCTCTCCCTGAAGCTGCGAGGTCCTGTCGTGTACCAGCAGACATCGTGCGGTGGCTGCACAGGGGGAGCGTGGGCAGGGACTGAGAGCCCCCCGTAAAACCCCACATGTCACACGGGACAGCCCAAAGCTTTGTGTTTCGCAGGAGGGATGCCCAAGCACTGAGCACATCTCACCTATGTCACAGCTTTTAGATGATGCTGGGACCTCCCCAGGTCCTCAATCTCATTCTCCCACCCATTTCCCACTCTGGCAAAGTACCTAGCCCAGTGTCAGCTCTGAAATTTGGCTTGGAGCAGAGAGAAAGCTCTGCCTTCAGCAGCTGCCTCCGACCTACCATGCCCTCACCCACCTGTAAGGATGGACTGGTCGACCCGCAGGGTGGTGGACCGGATTTCGATGATCCGGATGTCTGCTGGCACCTTGTCGCCAACTGCAAGGGCAAGAGCAGAGCAGCTCCATCAGGTGGGACAGTTCCTGCTGTCTCCCTCTGTTTTCTATTTCAACTGCCCAGTTTCCAGGGCAGGGACTGGCTTCTGCCCAGAATCACTGTGTCCCTACGTGGCATGGGCACACAACAGCACCCAGGCTGCAGCAACAAAGGGCACGACCCATGGTAATCTGGAGTCCTGACGCTGCATTGCCTGCCCTGCCACATCCCCATCTCTCCTCTTCCCTGCAAACCCCCCAGGCAGCCCCATTTTGGAGCAGCCTGAGCCTCCCAGCACAGCTCTTAACACCATTTCAGGGCTTTGTGGCCTGACTGGGAGCTGTTAACACTGGAGGACCTTTTGTGGCCGAGACAAACAGTTTCCGTGGGTCTGCTGGCATGGCACAGTGGTTATAGGTGAAAGCAGCCCTGCCAACCAACAGCCATCGATCCCTGCCCACTGAGGCACACACGTTTCCTTAAAAAAACCCACTGAAAGCTGCTTTTCCCGCTAGGTCCTGGCTCCTTGGCACAGACTGGCTCTTCCTCCTGCTCCCTTATCAGCTGGGCACAACTGTACTCGGAAACACTGAGGCAGAGCGAGCCCGGACTGGCAGCACCACACATCACATTACACAACAGGGCCGGCTTGGCTGCTAATGAACCTCTCAAAGCCCAGACTTCAACGAGTGCTTCCTCCCAGGGCTTGTAAAACCCCTGCCCCGAGCACAGCGGGAGTGGGGCTGGCACCCTTCACCACACAGCCGCTTATTCCAGCTGCAGATGTGAGGGCTCTTGGACACGGCGCCCAACATCTGCCATCCATCCAGGCCTGCACCCCTTTTTGGGGGCTGAGCTATGGGGTACTAAGTACAAGGCACCCACAGAGCCAGTGCCTGCACAGGACTCATCTCACTTGCCTCCTTACAAAAGGGTAAAACCCAGCTGGGTTTAGGCGTTTGTCAGCCTGCAGCCATCACTCTCCTTCTGTCTCAGTGCAGCAGGTTTCTGCGGCCAAATTTATTTTATTTTCATGTGCACACAGAGGCCAGTCCTTCCTGCCTCACCGTCACTGCCATCCTAGGATGCCACCTCCATGTCCACTGCACGATCAAAGCCATTGCTCCCGGTGGACTTTCCTACCAAGCAGCCTGGCACCATCCCACCACTTGCTCTAACCTCCTAAACCTGCAATCTGCTAATTAACTTGCTAATAATTTGCAAACCCCTCCAGAGGGGAGCTCAAGTCTTTCCCTCCCAGTCACGATGTTGATTGTGCCACAAAAAAAGAATATTCGAGCACTCACGGGTGGGCAGCAAGCACTTGATTTGGGGAAAGATGGCAGAATTTAATTAATTAATAATTAATTAATGTCATTAAAGGCCAGGTCAGCAGCTGGAGTGCATTGCCAGAGCTGGATCAGGAGTGCCAGCAGCTCGCCCAGCTGAGGACCTGGCCGCACTCCTCTGCTTGATCCTCCCTGCATTATTTTTATGTTCACCTTCCCGCTGAAGCCCAACAGGAAGACATAAATAACAGGGAGCTGGCTGGGCGCGGGAGGGTTGCAACATATTTCCACTCGCAGGGCCATGAGGAGGGAAGGAAAGGATTAGTTTTGCAGCTCTGGGGGTTTACGGCATCGTTTAATGAACAAACTGGAAAAAATGAAATGCATCCTCCTTAGCTCTGGTGAGGTAGGCAGGGGACCCCCAGGCATCCTTTGCTGCATGCAAAACCCCAGCAGAAGGGCTGGGGAGGAGGGACAGACAAGCCAACCAGGGAGGGCAAAAGCATCCTGCAGCCAGTCCCTCCCACCTCTCGCTCTCCCTGAATAACACACCCTGATGACCAGGGACGCCTGCCCACACAGGCAGCACCAGCACCGGCGGCTGTGCTCGCCTGGGAGAGCTGCTTCCAGAGAGAGGGAATCTTGGTTGAAAATCAAACACTCTTCCAGAAAACAGGGAAACCCTCCCAAGACACAAAACCTGCTCCAGAAACACACACTTTTATTTTTTTCCTTTTCTGCTATTCTCTACCACCCCATGCTTGGGGTGAAGCCTCCACAGGCTGACAAGCCCCATCTTTGGCCCAAATCATGAGAGCTCTCTGGAATTGAAAAAAGAAACTAAGATCTCAAGTGTATGACAATGAGGTGACCCTGCAGCCATGCCCCCAGGTGAGATGCACTTGGATGCTGCAGCAGAGCCCTCCCATCACTGAAGACCCCCTGGCCAGCACCACCTCCACATCCCGCCCCATGCCCTGGGGTAATGGCACTCTACCTGCCACCTCCACAATGTCCCCGGGGACGATGTCCCGGGCACGGATCCGCTGCACTCCACTGCGGTCAGCACGGATCACCTTCCCCATCTCGGGCTCGTACTCCTTCAGGGCTTCGATGGCGCTCTCTGCGTTTCTCTCCTGCAAGCAGAGGAGGAGCAGAGCTGCCGGCAGTGGGGTTGACAGGAGCACCCAAACCCCAACCCTGGCCTGGGCATCCATTTGCACCGTGGATGGGGCAAGTGCTGCGTCTTCTTCAGCTGCGCTGAAATGGTGCCTGCTGGCTTAAATCACACCACATCCTGGACACTGCACGGACCTTTGCGTGTGATTTTCTCATTCCTGGTTTGGGAAGCAGCATACCTCACCCAGATATATCTTTCCCCACACAGCAACCCCATCTCAGACCAAGCTGCAGATAAGTAAATGGCCTTAAAGTGAATATATACAAGACTAGGAGCATCACTGGCTGAAGCGTTTTCTCATCACAGGATGAGAATACCAGGAGCTGGAAGGGACCTCAAAAGCTCATC